TGATTCTGCAATCTGTATACGGGGTAAAAATGGGAGTTCATAACCCACTTGAATCAAATGTATGAAATATGATATGTCAAGAGCTTTGTAATGTTTTGAACAACCAATAAAAAAATAAATAAAAATTTAAAAAAAGAATACAACAAAAATGCAAAAAAAAAAAATAAAAATAAAAAATAAAACAAAATGAGATCATCCTGGATTTAGAGTGGGTCCTAAAGCCTGCCATACGTGCTTTTTGTTTGTTTGTTTTAAGTTGTCCATGGATCTTTATTTATTTGTATGTGGTGCTGAGGATCAAACCCAGTGCCTCACACATGCTAGGCAAGTGCTCTACCACTGAGCCACAATCTCAGCACCACACGAGTCTTTAAAGGAGACACAAAACTGCACCCGAGGACACAGCACAGTCCAGCAGTGCCTGGAGCCATAAGCACTGAAGAGGCAGAGGGGTCTGGGAAGAAGCACAGCTGTGGGGCACCTGCATCTGGACTCCGCCTCCAGAACAGCCAGTTTCTGTTGCTCTCAGACATTCAGCGCAATCAGAGGAAACTGAGGCAATAGCTAAACTGGAAACTGCAAGATTCTGAACACATTCCCACATCACAGAGCACAGCCTCAGAACACACTAACACAGAAACAGGCTCAGCTCCAGAACACAGTAGCCTGGTAGAGTACAGAGAGTATAACTACTGAGTAAACAGGAAGCCTAAGTGCATGTTGATTAGACAACTGAGTAAAATTAATGTGGGAATTTATCAGGACTGGGGGGAAGTGACTTTACACTGGGGAGGCTGTCGGACATCACCTTCATGGGCCACTAATATGATGCTGTCAGGAGCCGGCATCCCATGGCAGAGAAGCTGTTCCCACCAAAGACAGAAGTGCAGCCTGACTCTGACCTGAGAAGTATCAGGCAGACCAAGTTGAGGGGCTGTCCACAAGATAAGGGGCTATACCCTCAAACAGAGTCCTGTCAGCTTAAGGATGCAGGGACAGGTTTCAGAGCAGGGAGAGGGCAAGGGCACAGGGTAAGAGCATCACTGGGGCAGGAGACAATCCTCAGGGGCTGAGACCAGAGAACACCAGGTTCAATTCCTATCTTCCAGTGTCACAGGCAGTTCCTAATGGTAGCTGCTGGCTGCTACTGGTTATGACTAGTAACTGATGACTGTTACTAGTTACTGTGGGGAGCTGCAGGTTGTCACTGTGATGCATTCCTTCATTCAGGGGAGGAAACACACATACAAACAACTTGGGCCAGTTGTTTGTAGCTGAGGCTCAGCAAGGTAACTCTGTATTCTCATTTTAGCTCATATTGCAAAAAAGCGTATTTTCAACAATATTTTCTAAGCACCGCGTTCAGCACATTTTTGCATCTTCTGCTGGTGATTTTGCTGTTCAAAATGAACCAAAACATAATTTACAAGGTGGAGCACATGTGTTTTCTCTTTTGACAAAGAGTAAAACAAGTCTTCACATTACATCTGATGAAAGAAATTAAGCCCAACAGATAAGCTGTCTGGAAACTTGTCCAGAGTCACAGGTTCCCTGGAAGGCAAAGACCAGGCCTGCTGGACACTCAGACAGGTTTTAGAAAGAGCATCAGCTGGTGGCGGGGGCTGTGGCTCGGCAGTAGAGTGCTCACCTAGCACTTGCGAGGCCCTGGGTTTGATCCTCAGCACCACATAAAAATAAATAAACAAAATAAAGGTATTGTGTCCAACTACAACTAAACAACAAATATTAAAAAAAAAAAAGAACAAAGAAAGAAAGAAAGAGCACCAGGTAGACAGAGGTGCTGAGATGGAAAGCGTCAGCACCTCAGGGCTGGCTGGAATTCAGGTACGGCAGGAGTCACCAAGAGCCCTCCAAACTCACCTACACATGCTTCCTGCTCAAGGCTTTAACCAGCAGGTGGAAACGATAGCTTAAAGCACAGCCAGGAAGAGAGCACAGCCAGAGGATGCGGCACTGGGCACCAGCGCTTGCTGGGCAGGTCTGCAGAGGTGGACCTGCAGGCTCTGAGCCTAGCCTTTGCACTGCTACATCCAGCTCTGTGGTTGGCTGTACCTGCACCAGTGTTTGAGATATAATCTCTTTGTCTTCACGTTTGTACAGGACTCATTGGTAAGATAATCATGTATTTTTTTTATCACACGGTATTGGAGAAAACAAATGACTTTTGTGTAGGACACTGTATTCAGATACATGGAAAAGTTATCACAAGCCAAACAGCAGGAAATGGACACCACCACCCAAAGCTTCAGCTCCATGGACTGTCTGAAGAGCAGAACATGTGCCTCTCAGGCACTGGCTCCTCTCCCACAGGCGTGGTGAGGCAGCCTAAAGCCTAACCTTGCCCCTGCCCTGTTCTGCCACAGGGGCCCTGCTCTGCCACTTCGTCCCCAGGGTCTGCCCCCCACTCCTGCTCTGCTTCATGGGTCTGACATTCACACCCTAGAGTGTAGTCCTTGTCCTCATCCTCATCCTCACCCAGCAGGAAACTCCTGGGGGAGCTGTCCTTGTCCTGGCAGGACAGGGTCTTCCTCCTCCTCCTCCTCACCAGCTGTGTGGGCTCAGCCCCCTGCTCTTGCCCCCGCAACGCCAGGCTCAGGAGTCCTCTCTCCTTCCTCCGTTTGTACTCCATTATTTGTTTGCTGAGTGCCTCATGATCGATCCCACACAGACTTGAGCATGAAGCAGGTCCTGGGGCATCATGTGGTGATAGGGCATCAGGGTCCCTGAAGGAGAAGAGGAACCTTCATACCAAGCATAAACCACGCCATGACCACAGTTATCAGTATAAAATGCCACCGGGGGCATGTCCTACACCTGCCCACATATGCACCTCCTGGACAAGGATGTGGCAGAGATTTCTGGATTTCAGAACCAGTGGCCAGCATAGTCCTGTTGCCACTTGGTACCATCATGAGTACATTAAGCATGGCAGGAACAGCAGGCAGTTGAACAGAATCACAGGTGGGCCTACAGGTGCAGCAACTCAGGTCAGTGACACACCAAACGTCAAAACCTGACTGCAGTCACATCACCCTCTCACCCGTCAACACTGAACCCTGGAGGCTCTCTGGCCTGCCTCTTCCCCATGCAGCCTGGCTCCCTGATGGTCAGGATGTGCAGGCTGTGGTGACATGGAGCCATGCCACTAGCTCCTGCAGGCTGGTTCAACCCAGACTTACTGCTGGGCCCTGCAGTCCCTGAAGCACCAAAAATGCAGATGCTGCTCCTATCTAGGCCAGCCCCTCCACAAACACCCCTGTTCCCAGGCTTGTGACCAGACTGTGTTGTTCCTCAGAGGTGTACCTGCACCCCCACCAGCCATGCAAATCCACTTTCCTGCATCCTTCCTCTAAGGATGATAGGCTCATCAGTAATGACCACTGCATCCTCGGCCTCCCCCAGCCTCCCCACCCACAGCGCGGCAGGGTAGCATCTGAGAGCTATGACAAGGCCTGGCATACTGCATGCACCCAGTTAAAGTGCACTAAGCCAGGGCTGAGGTCGTAGCTCTGCGGCAGAGCACCTGCCTGGCACATGTGAGGCACAGGTTGGATCCTCAGCACCACATAAAAATAAATAAATAAGGAGGGCTGGTATTGTAACTCAGTGGTAGAGCACTTGTCCAGCATGTGTGAGGCATTGGGTTCAATTTTCAGCACCACATATAAATAAATAAAATAAAGGTCCATTGATAACTAAAAAACCCCCAATTTAAATAAATAAATCAAATAAAAGTTAAAAAAATGCACATAATATTTAAAAAATGTTTAAAAGTGCACTGAGCCAACAAGGAAGCCAAGACAATGTGGCCATCTCCCAATGGACGAAGCCTCACAGACCCACAGGGCCTCACCATGTGCCTGCAGACCACTGCCTGTGGATGCCTGGGCCCCAGGGCCAAGTACCAAGGGGCAACATGGGCTAGCGGGACACAGACCACACAGCCACTACAAAACACTCATCCTGTGCCTGGTGATCTGCCCCAGGGAATGGAAACACATCCCCACACATCACCTGGGATCATCTCCTATGGGGTGGGCTCCTTCGTCTGGAGGTCCAAACTCGGCCACTGCCAGTAAACCATCAATCTGAAAAGGAGCACCACAGTGGTAGGTCACGACCCACCCTCCCCCTCCCCCATCCCCACCCCTTTACCGTCTCCCCCTCCCCCACAGGAAGCACTGGAGCTGTGGGCCAAGCCTAAAGTGCACACAGGCAGCCTTGGCCCACACCTCCCATCCTCATAAGCAGTCACAGGCCACACTTCCCATCCACACTGGGAAAGGGGCAGAAACACCTGCTGTCCTCAGGCATAAGGCCAACCATGGGCCTCCTGGGTGGACTTCATCTGCCCTTTTGTAGATCTCTCTGCTCTGGGGTTGTGCGACAGCCTGAGCTTGCAGCTGCCTTGGTGCTATTCTCACATGGCACCTCTCTCTGACAATGAACTGAGGCTTATGTGAAACTTACAAACGTTCGAAACCCATTAAACAACAATTAAAGAACTAATATTTACTAGTTTCTACTGTAGTTTCATAAAATGCTTCCCTGTGGCCACATAATTTGTGTGCTTTAGGGGAGAAAAAGCCTCTGGCAAGGCAAGACAGCAGGTGCTAGGAAGGCTGCAGTCAAGCTGCAGAGGCAGGAGCTCTGCAGGGCAAGGAACCTGAGCAGGAACACAGCAGCAGCAACCAGGAGGCAGACTGCGACCCACACAGGACATCACCCACACACCTTGCTGGACTCTGCCCTGGCTGTTCCAGGGGCCCATCTGGGATCTGCACTTCCATCCTCTAGTGGCAGTGGCCCACTCCAGGCATAGCTGCGCCTTCCCTCCTCCAGAGATGTGTTGGGAGGAACCTGTGGAACCTGCCTCCCCAGGGACTACAGGAGCTACAGGTGAGAAGTTTAGCTTGGGGCTGCATGGCCAGTTGCCCTGGTGGCCTCAGCACTCGCACAGTTGAGCTCTCTGCCCCAGTGCCTGGCAAGGACTACTCTCCCTGCTGCTGCTTCTAAGAGGGGACGTCCCTCCAMTGTCAGGGTCACTACCTGCACAATGTTCCTATGTTATCTGTGTCATGAGTAACAAAAGACACACATGTCAACCTAGATCCTTTCCTTCTGTGAAGCTAAATCCTCTCTGGTTGTCCAGTGGATGACAGTTATCCAGGAAAAACACTAAACTTGTTATCTGCTGATTCTTGGTAGACTTTTAAAAAGTTATAACATACTTTCAATCTTTGTAACAAAACTCCTCTAAAGCAAAGAAAATGGTGGTTAAATACTTAGGTCAGAAAGTGAATTCTACAACCTCAGGTTAGGTGGGGAGGTGGTGAGAGGCGAGGCAAGCACACAGGGCAGCTCTGGCCACCTTAAGTTCATACACTGAGAAACAGCACTCTGGGTCACAGGTCAGAGTTCCACTGATGAGCAACGACTTAGAACCAGGAAAGGGGTTACACTGTGGTTGCCACTGCAAACGGGGTTAAAGGCCTTCCTTAAAAAACTCCTTCGCAGAGTTTTTAAAACATTATCTATTGAGTATTTAAAAATTAACAAATTTAAAATCCTATTCATATAAGTTTATATCATAAAAGGGCAATTATTCATAAGCCTCACCTCTGCCAGAGCTGCGTTTTTTCTGTCTTGAATGAACACTATTGGCGGCACATTCCTCAGGGTCTGCTGGGACATCAACAGGTGTCTAAGGAGAGGAGAGATGTGAGACTCTGGGCTCCACCTGGACACCTAGTGGAGAGGGTAGGTGCTCAACACAAGCTATGTGGGAATCCCAAATATGAAAATTAGACCAGCACACAGGGTAGATGGGGCAGGGCAGGGAGCCCAGGACTTGGAGGCTAGCCTGGACAGGGTAGCAAGACAATCTCAAAGGAAAAAAACCCAGATGAAAAAGTTTCTGTACTGAGCTGCCTATTACAAAAGGGTGCATAATGCACTATAACCAATTCCTCCAACACATCAGAGAGCCAATGAGCACCAATCTGAACACAGAATCTTCTGTGGCCCTGGGCACCAGGGTCTGGCCCTGGCAGCCTGTCCTGCACTCAGTGGACAATCCCTGGCATGGCTCCACCCTCATGTCCTAGATGCTGGAGAAAAATGGTCTCTGCATGGCTCTGTCATGAGATAACAAACATGTGCCAAGCTAGGTGTGGCACACACATCCAACTCAGCAGCAGCACAGAATCCAAGACACCAACCAGCAAGGGCCTCTGCAGCTGACCACACAGCAGTCTCTGGCATGACAACAGAGAGATCTGCCTACATAGTCTGTAGCCTGGTACACTGGTCACCTGCATAGCAAGTGACCCAGAGTTTTAGAACACTGATGCATTCTTTCAGAACGAACTGGAGCACCTGGAAGCCATGAGCTCAGTGGTGGATGCTGATTTTTCTAAGTTTGATTTTCAATTGAAAGGTTGCACGGCTTATTGCTGTGGTGGATACGGCCAGCTATTTACCCTCAAGTAGCAGGCTTGCCTCACTCTTCTTTGAAACAATATCTGCCACACACCTACCTCGAACAGCTGGGACAGGGGGCCCAACCACAGGGATGTCATAGACTGCACTTGAAGCGTGTCCTGCTTATTCATTTGCAATGTTTCAGGGCATGCGGTATGTCTCACTGTGAGCATCACCACAGTGCTGACAAGGTGCCTCCAGGGACAGAGGTGGAAACATCCCTGTGTCACAAGAACCATCTTAACCTCACCACCTCCCTGAAAAATACTACACCTGTTATCTGCTGGTTCTTGGTAGACTTTTAAAGTCATACTTTAACCTCCAGGAAAACACCTCCAGGATCCCTACACAACTGAGCTGAAAGTCAACTACATCACGTCCTATGGAAAAATGTGAACTATACTCTAAATTCAAGAAAGTTAACCCAGAATTTTCCTTCAAAGCAGAACTCCTTCATGAGTGAAACCTACAAGTACAACAGCCTGGCGACCTGGGTGCCAGCAGAAAGCAAGAAACAGGGGCATCACCTCATGTGCGCCGCACTCCTCTGCAGGGTGGCCTCTGTGCGCTTGTTCTGGTCCGCCGAGAGGCTCACCTTCCAGTAGACGCGGCAGGCTGAGAAGTCTGGAGTCAGCGAGACCTAGACACCAACCACAGGCACACTGTTTACAGGCTTCCTCAGACAACCTTCCCGGGATGAAAACCACAGCTCCCTTTAGCCTCCTGCCCAAGAGCAGTGTCCGTGCCCCACAGAGGCCAGCACTGCTGCTACAGAGTACTCCTGGCAGGCAGGAACCCAACGCCCCTTCCCCAGGACTGTCCGCAGCTGGAGCCCTGCACCGGCCTCACAGCCTCTCCTAAGATGCAGACTGGAAACATAGAACTGCCCCTTCTCCTCATGGCTCACATCCTCGGAGGGATCAGAGGACCCTCCGTTCTTTATGCCAAGCAAAGGCAGGTGTCTTAACCACACCTCAGAGCCTCCTCAGGCCTTCTTCCAGGGTCAGACAGCATGCAGGTGCTGCGGGGTCATGGGTCCCACCCTGGGTGGCAGCCTGGCTGCCTCTGTGCCCAGCATAGAGACCCCTTGTCTCTAGCACTACCCACGACTCTGCAGCCCCAAACCAAGGCCACGGGGGTACAGAGATCAGCTGGGAGAGCTGAACTCCGTCTTCTCTCCTCTGGCCTGCCCTCTACCTTGGAAAGCTCCACATTCAGGTTGTAGACCTCCTGGCTCACTTCAGGGGTGCTCAACAAGTCTGTCAGCGCTTTATAGAGGAGGCCGTTCAGGGCCCGCAGGCGCACATGGTCTTCCTTCCTGGTCCTCTTTGAGGTTCTCTTCAGGAGCAAGTCCAATTTGGAAGGCCTGTAAGTCTCCATTAAGAAGAAGAACACGGCCCAAGGGCAGGTTACACCTGTCACCCATCACCAACTTGGGYTGGGGAAGGGTGCCATCAACGTAAGACAGACAATAGTCACCTCGGTTACCTCAGCTCTAAGGTAAAGTATGTCTGTTGTTCCCAAGATTAAAACTGCTGCCAATTTTATTTAAAAAAATTTTTTTGAGGTATAATTTGCATACCATAAAAACTCACTGTTAAAATGTAAACACAATATATTTTTAATATACACAATGTATTTTTTCTAGTTTGAACCATTTATCACATGAACTTTTGTGGTTCACATACACTAAAAATTTGATGAACATTAAATAATTAAATAACAGGACATTCTAGAAAACGTCAGCAATAGTCAATTTTTATCTGAAACGGTTAAATCCATCCTAGCAGTCCCCCACACACAGATACTACCCTCCAGGACAGATTTGGACAGCCAGTCAGGCAAGAGCTGTGCCAACTGTAAATCTCACCCACCATGACGACGAGGGGGCTGCTTGACACTCACCCAGTAAACCCCAGGGAAGGACCTTCATACCAGAACTTCTTCCTGCAAAGAGAAAGCAAAAGCCACATTGGATAGTGCTAGCAAATTACAAGAGTTGCGTAACCTACCTTAAGAGGGTTCATACCTCAATGGCATGGGGCCCCAAAATGTAGGCAGTTAATGAACAGCATTGTTGTGGAGGCAAGGCAGAAAACAGTCTTAATTCAACTTCATAATTTTGACTTTCAAATTTGCCTACAGTCCTAAGGGTAGAGAAAGAGGACCTTAAAATATCTCTCAAGATGTACATAAACACCACACCCAGTTGACCAAGTGGTTCCCATGGAGGGCCAGGTTGATGGTACTGGTACTGCTATGCAATATGCTAAGGCTAGACAACCATAATGGCCAGGGAAAGCCCACTGCTCACTTTTAAAGAGGGAGTTACAGGTGAGCGAGGCTCAGGGGCTACATGACCTATGTGGTGGTGAGCTGGAGCTGGAAGCAGATGATTATACACAAAAATGTTTATGGGTAAGCATCTACGTAAGGGAGCTGTAAGCACATACTTTTTACTTCACAGACACCCCAGTGGAGCATGTACACCAGGCACCCAACCCATGGTGCCACTTTACCAGGACCAGGAGTCCTCAGAGAAAGGGTTGATTCTAGGATTGTGGCACAAGAACAGGATAGGTAAGATGAACCTGGCACACCTTGTAGCATTGGAAAGTAAGGATATGCTAAATAGGCACACATGATGGGGTGTCAATGGTACAGAGACGCTGAGAGGGCTCCTAACGGCCACAGTTGGRATAATGAGAGCAAAGTCAAGTCATAGTGGATTATAATCCACAAATCCACACTGATGTGAGTGAATTAACAAATGGAGGAGAAGATATGCATCTCCCACACAGAATCCCAAGTAGTTTCTGAGCACAATTCTCTCCTCCTTAAGCAGGGACTTCACATACTGACTTCTTCCCAAAAAGGACAGTATGGAACGTGGAGGAAGAGTCACTGCTCAGGGTAGACACCTGACAAACACCCAGCCAGGAGATCAGCACCTGTGTRGACCACACACACCCTTGATGTGACAAAATCGCCTCTGCAGGCTCCTCTCCAAACTCCACAGCCCACACACAACCATGAGGAAACACCACACAAACCCCAATAGAGGGCACACTACTACTCGTCTAACAGTGCTCCTCCAACAGTGCTTTGCCATTTTTCTGTAAACGTAAAACTATCTTTAAAGTAGTTTACTAAACAAAACAAGTGATGCAGGCCTGTGATCCCAGCCATGCCAAAAGCTGAGACAGGAGGATCACACGTTTGAGGTCAGACGGGGCATATTAAATAAAACCCTGTCTAAAATGAAGAATAATCAGAACCAAAAAACATACCCACCAAACAGTAAAAACTAAAGTGGGGTGAAGATAAAAATGTCTTACATGGGGGCTGGGATTGTGCTCAGTGGCAGAGTGTGCCTAGCATGTGTGAGGCATGGGGTTCAATTCTTAGCACCACACGTAAGTGAAYGAATAAAATAAAGGTCCATCAACATCTAAAAAAGATTAAAAATGTCTGACTGTACTCATCTTAACATGAAGAAAACTAATTGAGGGCTGGGAAGGAATATAGCTCAGTTGGTAGGGTGCTTGCCTCGCATGCACAAGGACACGTTCGTCCCCCACGAACCCGTCACGCGCCGTGGACCTCGCCCCGCAGCCTCAGCACCGCGCATACCTGGTTTTCGAAGCAAATTTCTTGAGCAAGTTCTTGCTGCCACAGGAGACGGCAGAGCCGTGCAGGCTCCGCGTGCGGTGGAGTGCAGCCTCACCGCAGCCCCGCCGCCACAGCACCCCCGCGCCGGGGCAGCACAGGCCGCGGGCGGCAGCCCACATGTCCGGGAGGACTCTGCCAGCACAGCGGGCGCGGAGCGGACACAGAGGCTGGACGACAAGACGCAGCCGGCGGACGGTGGAGCGCAGCGACGTGATGCGGACGTGGGGCGACGGGACGTGGGGCGGGGGCGACGGGACGTGGGGCGGGGCGACGGGACGTGGGGCGGGGGCGACGGGACGTGGGGCGGGGCG